ATTAGAAAGCAATGGATTTCTTGCTTCTGCTACAAATTCCCCTAGCTGTAAGCCTTCCAACCTTCTAAATATTCCTTTATATGTGGTTCAGAGTTCTGGAACCATCCCCCGAGCCTGTTTGGTCCTCTATTCTGTGTTGTTGCTGATGGAGCTCCTTTACTGCACTTTCACCTGATCCACCGTCTTGTTTGTTCTCCAAAGCCTAAGTCTTAGGAGACATAAAATGTGTCCATGGGAAGCCACAGGACACATTCTAGAAAGTACCACACTGCACATAAATGAGCATCTCAGTGTCCCTAAAGCAAGTGTTTTATGAAAGCAACATGGCAGTGTGGGCTGGAATTATTCGGAAGAAGAAGAAGTGGAGGCAGAGAAATGGCCTGAATGACCTCATTAGGGGCTTCCAACCCTCCGACTCCCTTAGTCTCAGGCTGACTCCATGCCTCCTTTTCATTTTCCTTCCCATAATGCTGGGTCCCCTCTACACAGCAGTGATGGCATTTGTTCTGTATTCAGTCAGGCCAGCTGGGCCCCTCACTGTCTCTCTTCCCACTTGGGCCTCCCCTGTCTCATGTCTCTAGGATCAAGCAGTGCACCACTGTGAACATGGAGGACCTCGTGGTAGCCCACCATGAAATGGGCCATGTACAGTATTTCATGCAGTACAAGGATTTACCTGTGACTTTACGGGAAGGTGCTAACCCCGGATTTCATGAGGCCATTGGTGACGTGCTGGCCCTTTCAGTGTCTACTCCACAGCATCTACACAAGATCAACCTGCTGAGTAGCGAGGGTGGTGGCTACGGTGAGAAAGGAATGGGAGAGTATGAGTGGATTCAGAGACCAGGGAGGGATGGTTGAGATTAAGAGGCAGAAAAGGGGGGATTTAGGGACCCAGTATTGGGGAAAGAAAGGGACCACCAACATGATGAGCCTGGAAGGATAAAATACACAGACCACCCGAGACAAGTGGTAGGACCTAAAGAGGTTCTCCCCACATATCACACACACACGTAGAGTTACCAGGACCCAGCAGGAAGCAGGTGTCAATCTGATGGCTGGCCCCCCTTCTCTTGGCAGAACATGACATCAACTTTCTAATGAAGATGGCACTGGACAAAATCCCCTTTATCCCCTTCAGCTACCTCGTCGACGAATGGCGCTGGCGGGTGTTTGATGGAAGCATCAACAAGGAGAACTACAACCAAGAGTGGTGGAGTCTCAGGTTTGAGAATGCTCTTGAACTGGGAGGGTAGCCTTGGAGGTAGTTCTTCGTGAATGTCTGTGTACCTGTAAATCTATGGACTGACCAGTGTGAGTCTGTGTTTATGTGTGTGTGTGTGTGTGTGTGTGTGTGTGTGTCGCTGCTCATGTTTATGAGCAAGTGGTAATTGTATCTGACAACTTGGGTGTAGATAATGTCTGTGTGTGGATTTGTGTGCATGCATACGGGTCAGGGTGTGTGTGTGTGTGCCAACATGTGTAAGTGATAGGGTGCACAAAGGGCTGCTTGTGCTCAAAGACACAGCACACAGGAGCTCCAGACACAGGAATTATTCTTCAAGTCAAAAATGCCAACTCCCCCCGCTTGTTTCTCCAATGGACCTTCCTCCTCAACAGGCTGAAGTACCAGGGCCTCTGCCCCCCAGTGCCCAGGACTCAAATTGACTTTGATCCAGGGGCCAAGTTCCACATTCCTTCAAGTGTGCCTTACATCAGGTAATGGGGGAGGTGGTAGTGCCTACAGCCAATCATGTAAATCTATCAGGGACTGTTTAACCAGTCAGGCAGCCATGGGAACTTGGTCACAGGATGCAGAGCCGGGCTCATTCATTTGCTACTCCCATTGAACAGTTGTTTCTTAAAACATTCTTTTGATATGAGAACCTGTAACATCCAAATAGTTGAATGAACAGAAACTCAGCCTATGAAATTTGTCAGTGGTTTCAAGGCCATGGCTGGATCATTAACATTGCCTGTGACACATGTCTACATCATGATCCAAGCATTGTTTTGTTGTTTTTAAAAATAAGATTGTGAGTATGTTCCTAAATATTGACCAAATGGCCTGAGATCATTTTAATTGCACCTAGAAGACTCTTCTATACACTAAAATGCAGGATTAGAGACCAAGTGTGGTTAGGGACATGGCTCCAGTCATCTGGGGTCAGACAGAACTGGATTCAAATCCTGGTCTCCTACTTGGTGAGAAATCACTTTCTCACCTGTGAAAAGGGCTAGCAATACCATTTCACAAGATTACCATGAGGGTTAAGTTCTTAGAGTAACACCTAACACACAGCATGCTGGGAAAATGGTGCCCATTTCAAACTTTATGGAATTACTCTTTTCAAAGGACTATGTAAACACTAGGAATATGAGTCTTGCAGCCTTAGCATGAATTCGCCCAGACCAGCGCCCTTCCTAATAACATCGTCTGAGGGTGATTTCAGATCTGAGCCCTCCTGGGAGGCATGGCTCTGAAGAGACCTCAGTGTGTACAGTTTCAGGTGCCCCTGGGCTGCTGGCATCCCAGGTCTCCCATGAGGCAAGGTGCAGAGGGTATTGAGGGCCACCCTAGTGGGTTATGGTGACCTCGAACCGTTCCCCTGGTGACCTCCTGGAAGCCCAACGAGAGCTCATGACCACCATGCTCACCCTTCCCTCCTGACACCTGGCTCAATGTTAGCACAGAGTTGAGCCAAACAAATTAGTATGGGTGAATTCTGTCCCCTGGAAGTCAGGGAAGGAGACGTGTGCTCAGAAGCTCCAAATAACAGTGGTGGGCAGGGGCCCCCAAGGAGACTCCCCACTAGGGCACCTCGGAACAAGCCTGATCCTGTCTTTGAGAGTGGTTTCTGGGGTTCCAAGCTGGCCTTCACTCTCACATAGAAGCCCTGCCATGTGATGGTTAGCAGCCAAGCTTGTCAAATAGTTCTCGGAGCAGAGATGAACAAAGACTATAGAAGAATGCATTCCAAATTCTGCACAGCGACCTTAGCAAAGGAGACACCAGCCTGAGCCTCTGGTTTGGGACATTCTTTAAAAACTTCTCAATTTCTGCCCTACAAGCAAATTTCTACCAGGGAATCCCTGCTATCTTGGGCAAAAGATATTTGGGCACCTTCTGTGCCCAGACCTCCTTCCCAGATATCAGTAATGCCTAACCCCTCCTGCATGTACCCTCAAAAGCAGCCTGCCTTGACCACCCACATATGTGACTGATCCTGGGATCCTCTCACAGTGGTGTCTCGCAGTGGTGGTGGGAGGTGTTTGTGGGAGGGTGCACATGGGCTGTCCCTGACACCCTGATTACAGGGGACGTTGGGGCCCTGGCTCTGCTGTGTTGTGAGGGCTGGGATTCACAGCCTTCCCTCCATCCCAGGTACTTCGTCAGTTTCGTGATCCAGTTTCAGTTCCACGAGGCACTGTGCCAGGCAGCTGGCCACCAGGGCCCCCTGCACAAGTGTGACATCTATCAGTCCAAGGAGGCAGGGAAGCGCCTGGCGTGAGTCCTTGCATGTTTTCTGCCTCTGCCCCAAGCCCTGCAGCCTGAGGAGCCCCTGGGGACTCCCAGACTCGATATACTGTCTCCAGTGTGGGGTCCAGGTCATCCCTCCACATTCCGGCCCTCCCAGTCTCAGAGGGAATTAGCTCCAGGAGCAGGAAGGGAAGTGAGCATTCCCACCGGCCCTCCTGTCTCAGTTTCCCTCCCTCTGATGCTCCCCCAGGGATGCCATGAAGCTGGGCTTTAGTAAGCCATGGCCGGAAGCCATGCAGCTGATCACAGGGCAGCCCAACATGTCTGCCTCGGCTATGATGAACTACTTCAAGCCGCTGCTGGACTGGCTCGTCACGGAGAATGGGAGGCACGGGGAGAAGCTGGGCTGGCCCCAATACAACTGGACGCCAAACTCTGGTACCACCACCCACCCCACCTCCAGTCCCAGGCCTGGACCCCTCCCCAGTCCAGGCAGGTGGCAGTTAGACTAACAGCCCCCTGCCCTGTCCACTGCCCTGCCCACCGCCCTGCTCTCCTTGCTTCCCGCCCAGCTCGTTCAGAAGCCTCCAGCATGAGCAACAACCGTGTCAACTTCCTGGGCCTGGAGCTGGAGGCCCACCAGGCCCGCGTGGGCCAGTGGGTGCTGCTCTTCCTGGGCGTCGCCCTTATGGTAGCCACTTTGGGCCTGACCCAGAGACTCTTCAGCATCCGCCACCATAGCCTCCACCGGCCACACCGAGGACCCCAGTTTGGCTCCGAAGTGGAGCTGAGACACTCCTGAGAGGCTGAGGGGACCAGCTGAGATGGGGCAAGGGGCGCCCTCCTGCTGCCTCCCCATGTCCTGGACATCCTGGGCACCAGTCTGTCATCCTGACCTCCAGCCACCTCTGCCACCTACCACAGGGCCCCCACCCAGTTTCCCTGTGAATACAATTAAAGGTCCTGCCCTCCCGCCTGAGTTTGTGTGTCTCACTGAAACGGAGGACAAGGACACGGCTGCTCTTTTGCCTTCTGACAGTTGATGGGTTGCGCTCCTAGGTTTCCTCCTTCACCCATCTTCAGCAACCCCCATAGAGTTCTACCCCCACACCAAGCCCCTGCCCACCTGCCTGGGCATCCTCTCAGCAAATTCCAAGAGACAGTGGGAAGTGACCTGTCACAGTCGTGCCCCAAGCCAGAGGCCCCACAGGCTCGCTGTCCTAGCTGTCCCTATGGATGGCCAGGTCCTCAGAAAGAAGGCTGTCCCCTGGTTTCTGGGGGGTGTCCTGGGTCTTCCTGCCTCCTTGTGGATATAGAACTGACCCAGAGTCTCCTCAGGCTCCTGCCTGCCCTTCCCTGCCCCACCCTTCAAGACCAATAGGAGCTCCAGGTGCTCTCGCATGAGTGGACAGCCTTCTTCCTAACAGTCACTCAGGCAGGGTCCCAGGGCCAGACTCTCACTAGGGGTTCTACTGCTAGGGTGCCCCTGTGCCCACTGTCAAGAGCATGTCCTGCCTCCCAGCACACATGCTTTATCCAGCGCCTTCCCCTTGGAAGGTGGATATGGGTTTGAGGGAGTCATTTTGAGGAGCATTTTTATAGCGTTTAGCTACACACTTATTGTAGGAAATTTGGAAACTACAGAAAATAAAAACATCCATCTCAACACTAAGAAAGATGCACATCTTTCCAGTCTTGTTTCTCTGCACCTATTTTAAATGGGATTCCACTGTTTACAGTCCTTAATAGGACTAGATCTACTTTTCAAACATGTAAGCACCAGACCTAGAAGCCACTCAATATGGGAGTTGATTGGTTTTTCTCTCACTACCAGCCTGGTTCCTGTCAGGGGTTGACCCCTCAGCTCTGACGTTCTTCCTGACTTGCTGGTACCTTGACCCCAGTTAGGACCTTCCCATATCCTTGAGTCCTCTGGCTACCTCATGTGTGTCTGAGTTTGTGTGTGTCCATGTGTCTGTCTGTCTACATATATGTGCATGTGCCTGCATGTATATGTGTTTGTGTGCATTTATGTGCCCAAGTGTGTGCACATGTGTCTGTGTGCATGTGTGTGTCTGTGCATTTAGGGTGCCTCTGTGTGTGTGTGTTTGTGTGCGATGCATGCAGGCTAACTTGTGCAGACCTATTAGATGTAGCAGGATGTACAGTTGAGGCTTTTCTGGATACACAAGAGGGTGGAAGTTGTTTATGATTTTGTTAGACAATGTAATTTATAAACATGTCCTCTCAATCGTTCTACCACCAAAGACATTTTTAATTACCCCCTTCCCATCCTGATGTTTTGAAAGATCTTTGTCAAACAAAGTTCAATCATTACGTTATTCCCTTTCCTGTGTTTGTGAACCACAGAGGGCACTGCTGCCTGTGGGAGCAGCATGAATCACGCGTGCTCAGCACTGAACGAGATAAGGCCAGAAAACTGACACGGGGCTTGGCCTAACCAGCCTTACCCATTGTTGTTGTTGTTAGGTGCCATCAAGTAGGTACCAACTCATAGCAACCTTTTGCACAGCAGAATGAAACCCTGCCCGATCCTGGGCCAACCTCACTATTGTTGCCACACTTGAGCCCATCGATGCCACTTGGCCAATCCATCTCACTGGGGGTCTTCCTCTTTTTCTCTGACCCTCCACCTTATCAAACATGATATCCTTCTCCAGGGATAATATGTCCCTGACAATATGTCCAAAGTATGAGAGACAAAGTTTGGCCATCCTGGCCTCCAAGGAGCACTCTGGCTGCACTTCTTCCGCGACTGGTCCCTCCTGACAATATGTCCGAAATATGAGATATGAAGTTTGGCCATCCTGGCCTCCAAGGAGCACTCTTGCTGCACTTCTTCCAACACAGATCTGTTGGTTATTTTGGTCACCCATGGCACATTTAATATTCTCCTCCAACACCATAACTGAAATGTAGAGATCATTCTACATATGGAAATTTAGATCGTAACTATAGATTCGGTTCTTACTAATAGTGAACAAAATGTTGTTGTTGTTGTTGTTAAGTGCCGTCGAGTCGGTTCCGACCCATAGCGACCCTGTACAGGGTTTGGAGTAGAAAGCCTCATCTTTCTCCCGCGGAGCGGCTGGTAGTTTCGAACCGCTGACCTTAAGGTTCGCAGCCCGATTCGTAACCACTACGCTACCAG